CACACACACACACACACACACACACACACACACACAGACCCCCCCCCACACACACACACACACACACACACACACACACACACACACACCCCCATCACACTCGGGGGAGCTTTGGGCACAATCTGCTTCGCTGGTGAAGTTCCCTGTCCATCCCACATTCTGCTTTAAAAATAACAAAACATAAATCAGCCCATTATGGGTCCTGTTTTCTTTAGAAAGTAAGAAAAAGTAAGTAACGTTTGCCTAAAAGTCAAAGAAGGAACTCTGCAGACAGAACTGGGGCAGAAGCTGCGTGCAGCTGGGATCAAAATAACTCCTGTCAACCCAAGAAATTAATCTTAGGCAATAAATATATATTTATATCTATATATATATATATATACACACACACATGTAATTAGTGGTGCTCTTGATTCAAAAGACAACACTTACTTAAAAAGTAGTGGTGCAGGACTTCTTCAAAACTCACAGATAAGCAAAAGACTTAAGTAGTAGTTTATGTGGGATAAACTTTGAGAGCTTCTACGTGAGCTAAAAAGGAGTTATCTTTCCATTTCCGGAGCATTAAACGTGAACAGGAGGCTTTGGTACCTGAGGTGGCCTTGAGGAAGAAGACCTCCTGGGCCTGGGCCAGCATGATGAGGCTGAGCGTGCCCACCGTCTCGGGGCAGATGTCCATGGTGGGCTCCCGGTTCAGGGCCGACAGCACCGTGTCCTTAATGTGGCCGAAGGCGCCGCTGGCCAGCTGGAGACACAAACGGACCAGAGTCGGGTCAGAAAGCCTCTAAGGGACAACTTAAAGGGACATTGTGTAGTATTTTAACTATTTTATTAGCTAAAGTCATGTTCTTCTTTTATAAATGTTCCTCATTTGGTGTAAAATGACCTCTGCAATGATCTGACTTCTCCTCATAAGGAAGGATCTCCTATGTGTGTATACACAGGACGGGTAAGTCCACAGAGGTTTCCATGGCGATCTGCCATTTGAAAACAATAATGGCAGAGAGGGACATAAAGCACTAGTCTGCCTGTCTAGCTAATCCACAATCTGACTGAAACCAGCTCCGATAAGTGAGAAAGCTGGAGAAAAATAAGGCTAAACGAGGGGTTTTCCAGGTGGAAACAGGTAATAAAGGATAAAGACTTTCAAATTTAGGCAGAAGGTGCTTCCTGCTTCAACCCGACAGGTAAGTCAGATGCGTATGTTACTTCCTGATGCATAAAAATTTAATAAAAATAAATAAGCTAAGTTAGTTTAAAGTTCACTAAGTTAGTGAAAGTTAGAGTAAGTTAGGGTTCGTCCTGTATCTCAGTCTCCACCTTTACCTCCGTTCACCAATAAGTGCCAATAAAACCCCTTTTTATTGATTATTTCTTTATAATCTATTTATTTTTACATCTCTCTTATATAATGCATTTGTTTCATTGCTATGTGTAATTATCTGCAGTAGTTATTAAGGAGTTTTCTTAAGTTTTTTAAACGAATTATAAGAATTACAGTGTATTCTGATGGGAATATTTGAACCAACATATGAATATTTTAACATATGAAGTGGGTCCTGGAACCAGTTAAACTCGTATGCGGAGGCTCTACTGTACCTTTAATACAGCAGACGCATCAAACACTTAAAGTACTCACTGGAGTGTCTCAGTGTCATTTAGATGGTCCACCTAAATCAGTTTATTTATCATTTTTATTCATGTAAATGCTGAAATAGGCCCCATAGGCTGTGCTCCTCCTCCCACCTGGTAGTATTTGGCCGCGGCCTTCAGACACTCGTCGTTGTCCACGTTCTGCTCCGCAGCGATCTGACTGGCCAGCGCCGCACAGTTGAACAGCACACACGTCTTCTCGTAGCCCAAACTGGCCAAAGCTGCCACACAAACGCACACAGACACACAAAAACACACAAACTCAGCACAGAGTCACAAAGGAAAAGCTCAGTTTCACCCTCTGAAGCAT